ATATATATATACCTTTAGCAAGACCTTTTATGGCATATCTTATGTTGCCTTTAGTCTGAATAAGTACTTTTGATTTACAAATGGACTTGGATACATGTCAAAGTATCCAATTCTTCTTCTGTGAGAACTCCACAGCAGAAGCATACCTTCCAGTTAATGTAGAAATGTAGTCATGAATTGTTGAAGAAAATGCAAATTCTACTGCTTGTAATATTGGATGGGAGACTTTTTTGTAAAGAACTTAGGGATGAACGAGTACTTTATTCTTCCTCAATAGTCTCAGGTTCAGTGATGGGGAAAATAAATTATAAATACAAATGCTATTGGAGGATAAATTATGGGGGAAAGGAAGAAAGGAGAAAGGGGAAGGAGAGGAGGGGTAGTCAGGAAAAGGAGAGGAGAAATGTACAGGCCCTTAGCAAGTCCTGACTTTACTGTTTCCTAGTCAGAACTAGACTGAAGGGTTCATTAAAAGAAGGAAAAAAAAAAAGAAAGAAAGAAAAAGGCCCTCCACAATCCAATCCCTGCAGCTGGACCAGTTTCTCCATCCTCCACCTCCACAAATCTGCTTTGGATGGAGAACTGGAGGCAAGAGGGCTCATTCCCCAAATCCCCACCCTTCCCCAAAAATTCAAAAACAGATTGCTGAGAAGAAAAAGAAACCACATAAGAGTCAAGGGCACCTTCTCATGCCCTTCATTTTTGAAATAACAGAAAAGTTCAATTGAACTGGATTCCCTACTTTGTGGATATGCACTTTGAACTGTTGTTGTTGTGTCTATACAACTACCCCAAAAGGAAAACTAGAAAGGGAGAGACTACAAAAGCCGAGTTAAAGGGAGACTTTTCCCACCACTCAACTGATATATCTTATTCTGAATGAACTAAGTGACTAACAAATAATGTGGCCCTGTACCCTCCCCACCTCCCAGAAGAGAAAAAGCATGTAGAGCCACCGTGTGTGAAACGCTGTCTTTGGGGCAGGTAGGGCTGAAGTTATATCTTCAAGAGCAGATTCACATCTCCCAGATTTGATATTCTTTCTGGGTTCTTAGCATGTTCTGAGTTCACCTTATTATAGACATTTAGAGGAATGGTCAAAATCAGTTCTACTACTTTAGTTAGGAAAACAAGGTAAAAGGAGGCTTGAAAGACGATAAAGGGAATTGAGCCATAATTCCTGTAAATATAAAATGTATGTTTATGGCCTTCTGGCCTGGCTCTTTTCAGGTCCAGTTTATTTTGAGTGCTCATAAGCAAAACATAAGATATGAAATTATCCTTGCTTTTGAAATAATAAATACTTCAAAAAGATCTGTATTTTCCTTAAAAACAGACTGAAGTTCAAAAAAATATTTACTTTAAACCAAGTTGATTTTAAAAGTAATATCTCACAGGAGCAAAACGTTTACAAGGGCTTCCTCAGCTTTTCCCCTGGACTTTGAATCTTTTCCAGGGAGAGAGGTGGGAGGAAAGGAAGAAGACAAGCGACATGGGCACAAAATAAATGTTTGAAGCTGGCCAGCGCTATTTGTTTGGCAGGAAGCAGATGTAATGTGCAGCACTGTGAATACACTATAAGCCTCGGAATTAAGCCTGGACACAGAATCTCCAACTCTACCCTGTACCTGGACTGCCTCCCTGAGACTTGGACTCAGCCCTCAACCTCGCAGAAGAAATTTCCCTCTTTGTAAGATTTCTCCAGGGCACCCCAAACAGCTCACAGCCAGCATCATGACAGTTCCCCCAGACCCTTTGAGAACTCTCAGCATGTATCTTTGTGGAGCAGTTCACCAGAGGCCTTACCAGGACAGCCCAGGAGTAGGGTCACAGGCTGACATCTAAGCTGGAAACTGCACCCTCTTCCTCTCCCATTTTCTCCTTCATCACCAGTACCAACTTCTCCTCTATCACCACTACTCCATTAATTCTATCACCACCATCCCTGGGTGGAGCAGGCCACCTAAACTAAGAACAAATTGAAAATGGCATCTTAGCTTCATAGTTTTCAAAAGTAGAAAGCTAATCTAGCTTTCTAAGATTCCTGGAGTAAAATATGACAAAAGAAGATTTTTTTTTTTGAAAAAAGAAAAAGAAAGAAAGAAAAAGTGAACAAACAGCTCAGTCAGAACCAGACAGTTACTAGATGGGGGATGCCACTAGAATTCACCCACTTCTCCTTTCTCTCAAATTACCTACAGACTGCCTTTCTAGCCTCTAGGTTTGGGTTCTGAGATACCACGAAGCTTTAGACCCCTGGATTGTAGCATTTAACTGATAATGGTGCTGTCAGTGAGGACTGGTGTTCAGATTAGCATCTTTTATGACCTTTTTCTGTACCTTGTTGTCCATTTCTTTTATCACTTGTGATGATGCTATCTGAGGCCATGTATCGATTTATGCACAATTTCTGTTTGCTTCAATTTTAAAAGCATGAAAAGGGCTAAAAGTAGCATGTCTTGATCCCCGGGAACTGAGGCCACTGGTGGGCTGACAGCTTCTCCATCTCCAACCCTACCTTCCTCTGGATTCTTCTTCCTCCTTCCAATTCCCTAAAAGTCTGTTTGCTAAAGCAACCAAACAAGTACTTTCCCTAACTTTTTATCTGTTGCTAGCCCCAGTGCAACCATCTTACCTAATCTACCTGTTCCCTAGGCCTAACTGTTTTTATAAACAAACTTTTTAAAATGTATCAACTGTTAGAGGATTGAACTACCAGTATTTACACATTAAGAGTATGCCTACTGGTAAAAATGTAAACAGAATCTTCCACTACACTACCTATATTCTTCTCTTGAAGAAGTAGTTCTTTAAAAGACCCTCCTAGTACCCTCAAAGTGCAGACCCACCCTAATAGGAAGCAGAGCCCTATGTAGGTCACTGTTTTGTTCTGCTACCAAATACAAGCCTCTGTGCTTACCACAGAGCCTGGCTTCAGCTATTCCCCATCCTCTTCTGGTTCTCTGCCTAAGATCCTCTACTGGGGGCTGGTGAAAGAAATGATCCCTTACATATAGAAAACATAGAAAAGGAGAGGAGAAATGTACAGGCCCTTTTTAGGGCCTGAACACCTCCAGACCGTTTTTAGACTCCTTTCTGAGTTTTACCCCTTCTCCCACTACCCAGCCCCAGAAAGCCTTTAAAATTTTTTGTGTGTTTTCTTTCTAGAGGCTTCCCAGGGCGGTAGCGAGTGTTCTGAGCCCCGAGTCTACAGACGGAAACAAGTTAGGCAAGTTCTAATTCCAGCTGACCTGGCCCGCTAGAGCCGCAAGACTAGTCAGTCAGCGGGGCCCAGTGGTAGGCACAGAAATGACCGTCCTTGTGGAGTCCTTAAGCTGAGGCTCCCTTTGCGGCCTGAGGTCAGATTCCTGCCCCTAAAGGGTGATGCCAAGGTGGAATCACTGGTGTCCCCTCAGCTCCCCTGGTCAGGTTCAAGGCCGGCCGGCTGACCTGACCGGCCCTCTCCTGCTTCTGCACACTCTACCCTCCTCGGTCTAATTTACAGCCGGTGGGCTCCTGCTGACACCCTGTTCCACACCAAACTCCCGCCGCCAGGCAGGCGGAATCCTCACATTCACAACAGCTTTGCCTGGCAGCTGGGGCCAAGGCCTGAGGGTGATTTCAGCTCCTGCTACTGACCGCCCCCACCCTGGCTGCTTGGGGTCTACCGAGATGCTAACACCGCACGGGCGCCGCGGCCTGGGTGCCCTGCGGCCCGCTTACTTACAAAGTGGAGATCCATTTCCCACTATAATGCGTTCAAGATCACCGAGGCCAGCAGTCTAAACATCCACGAGCCGTCCTCCCGGCCTGCCTCTTAAATGGGCGTTTAATAGTTCCCCTTCGATAACTAAACCTGCTTTCCACAGATGACCGCTTTTATGGGGGAGGCAGGAATGCAGAGATATATTTATATGTTTGTTCATAAAAACTGGAAAATAAGCTCTGAACACGCTGTAAAAAATATTCAGTTACTTACCAAACAGGCTAGTTAAATCAAAGGAACACCGATACCGGCCACACCACAGATTCGGGAAATCGAGGTGGCCCGCTTTGAAATCCTCCAAAGTCTCCGTTGGGGTTGGTGTCCCTGAAGAATAAACAAATGAGAACACTCACAAACTGAGGGTCTCTAAGGCGACCTCTGCAAGTTGTCACAATAACCTGACTCACCCAAAGAAGCTTCTAAGCAAAAGAGCCACCGACACAGGCGTCTTCCAGGGTGTGCCGGTCAAAGGAGCGCCCGGTGCCCGCCCGGGATGAGAGACCCTACTGACTCTCAGCCGCACCCTATTGGGGACCCCTATGCCGGCAGCCTGGCTCGCCACGTCCCCCCCCCCAGCATAAAGCTACTGGAGGCTGCCTGCACATTTTTCTGCCTCGGTTACCTACAAAATTCTTCGAAACGTGGCATCTCCGTCCCCCCCAAAAAAAACAGAAAAGAAAGCGGAATAATACTGTACCTGGTTTGAGGTTCTTCAATAGTTGAGATTTGTGAGGAAATATTTTAATAGTGAAGCATCTGTTAAACACTTGCATTAACCTCTGACTGATAAAAAGTTTTTTTTTACTCCTGCCCCCCCCCGTTTTAATTATCTTATGGTTATGAGTGGACAGCCAATCCTGGAAGAGGACCCCGGCAATTAGCAACGTGAACATCAAAAAGTTTTATTGCAGAGAGAGCGAGGCGCCGCCCCCGCCGCCCCGGGATTGGCGTGAGGAGCCTCTGACGACATATATTAACCCGAGCGGCCCTAAAGATGTGGCTGTACATGGAGATCTTGCTGGGAAAATCCGCGTGCTCCCCTCGCGGCGTCCAGCCCAGGAGAACCGCCGCAGCCAGCCGGGAGCTCCCTCATACGGCGCAGACCCCTCCAAGAGCCCAGGTCGCCGCTGCCGAGTGCCGAGGCATCTTCGGGAGCCCCAGATCCTTGCCCCGAAACAAGACCTGAGAAAATGGATGCACTGAGACCTCTCTGCAAACCCTCGGAGAGAGCCTGAAAGGGGAGAGGACACGTTCCTCGCGGCTTTAAAACAAATCACATTCAAGGACCAAAACAACTAAAAACTTGCATTAAAACAATAAGCGCCCAAGAACCCAGATCGGGCCGGTGGGGGAGGGGAAGGGCGGGAAGGGGAGGGTCGCATGGAAGTGGCCCTGCGCTGAGCTGAGCTGAGCAGCAACCCCGCCGGTTCGGGCAGAGCGGTCCGGCAGCTGCAGCCGCGGCGGGGATTCGGAGGCAGCAGTGCGGCGGGCGAGAGGCTAGCGGACCCCCGCGCAGCTCTGCGGGCAGCCGGCAGGCGCTTTTGCATGAGCACCAGCGAACTCCGCCTGCGCGCAGCAGCCCGGGAAGCAGCGGCCGGCGCGCGGGCTGTAGAGCCGGGTGGGAGGCGGCGGCCAGGGGCGCACGGTGCCGGGACC